GAGAGAGAGAGAGAGAGAGAGAGAGAGAGAGAGAGAGAGACCCTATCCTTTTCATGTTATTAACTATTTACGCCCTTGGAATATTAAAGTGTCTTGAACCAACATGCATGAAAAAAAAAGATTCACAACGCTGTCAATTTTCGGGCATATGGTATTATTGTTATGATCTAAAAGCCTGCTCATTCACCTTGATTGGGATTATCTTGAACAAAGGCAGAATATTTGCAATTGAATGAGGTGAGGATCGCCTGGTGTCAGAGACAAAAGTAGCAAGAAAATGACCACCAAAGTTTGGTGACCTCCAAAATTGTTATGTCCTTGGAAATGCAATCTTACATATTTATGGTGCCTTTGGTCGTTGTTTTTCTGTTAAATCCACGCAGCAATGTGTTTTTAAATAAACATTAAAGGTGCTGAGCCAAAAAATAAAATCCATTACAATAGCCTACCAAGTTGGAAAAAAGTTGGTTACTTCCATTTCATTATTTTGACGAGCGCCTGATTTCACGGCTATGTCAAATTGTCATGTCATCTTGACCGTGTGGTGCTTGGACGACGCATAGAACCATGACCTTCTTTAGCAGACGATAAAAATATGGCTTGAAAAACTTGATGCCTTGCAGATTAAATCTGGCAGAGGTTAACCAACGCGGCACTAGGGCATATAAATACTGGGCTCCAGAGCTACGTCGTTTTATTATCAAAATGGATGTCTGCTGCCTATGTACTCCGTGGACTCTTGCAGTTACGGCTGCAGTGCTGTGTATTCTTTATCTGTTGTCCAAACAGTTTGTGTTTACGAAAGGCAACCGTCCTCCGGGGCCCCGGGGATGGAAATGTTTTATGGAGATCTTACAAGCTAGCCGGGACGACACTCTGTACGAAGCAGCCTGGGGATGGGCGAAAAAATATGGAGACATAACTTTCTACACTGTGTTAGGTCAGCCCATGTGCATACTTAACTCGTCGGACATTGTTCGTAAACTCTTCGGCTCGGACGAGTACAAACTGCTCACAGCTGACCGCGACCCTTCAGTGATATCAGAATTAGCGTGGTATAATGGGAAGGAGCTTTTCTTCACGCCTTATAATTCCCAGACTAGACAGAAGAGAACTTTATTCCACAAGGTAATGGGAATCCACGGGGAAGGTGTGGACAAGTTTGAAAACGTCGTTGGTAAAGAGCTTGATCGTCTTCTGGAGGAGATGGACACTGCTAGAGCTACAGGCCAGGATATCCCAATAACTCGGATTTTGTCGAGATCTCTGAAGATCATTTTGTACGTGCTGGTAAGTCATAGATGCA